TTAAAAAACCAATGACCCAGGTCAGGTTTTTTCAATAGGTCCCCTTTCTAGAGGAGCCATGTGCTCTGGGCCCAATCTTGCCAGGGCTGTGCAAGAGGAGACCCTATGGAATTACAGTGACTGGTTCCCATATCACCTCAATTTTTTTAAGCAAACACATTTTACATGGTTTTACTCTCTGGCTCAATTGTGGGGGCAGGAACACAGACCTGTGTTGCTCTGTGGTAATAGGGCATATTTCTGTTTTCTGACAAGCTGAGGGCTCCAACATTTATCCTCTCAGAGTTACAGGGTGACCAGCATCCCTGCCCCCCTCTGCTCTGTGACTCCCACATTTCAGACCTTGTAGCTTTCCCCGTCATGGAGTGGAATCCAATGATCCTCCCACCCTTGGACTTAGCTCTGGGCTACAGCACAGTGCAGCTCAGAATGGGTTCCACTCCTGTGGTTCTTCCCTTTGGGAGGCTGAGTAGTGGCGAGACGACTGACCGGCCAGCCTTCTTCAGCCAAAATGCTGTGTAATCAGAACTGTAGGAAGGAAACGTAACGTGGGGGAACAGGAGGGTTTCCAAACAACAGTCTGTCCACTTCTCTGATCCCAGCCCCTCACTCTGACAGGGACCCAGGCAGGCCGAGGGACTTCCGACTTCTCCAGGCGTCTGTGCCTGTCGGTCTGCAGAGCTTCTCAGCAACCGCTGCCCCACCTCTGAGCAGATTCCCAGAGCTGGCAGAACAAGCTGTGTTATGTGGCTGGAGCCTGGAAATAGGCTCTGGCTAGCTTGCAACTCCTCACCTCAATTTTTTTAAGCAAACACATTTTACATGGTTTTACTCTCTGGCTCAATTGTGGGGGCAGGAACACAGACCTGTGTTGCTCTGTGGTAATAGGGCATATTTCTGTTTTCTGACAAGCTGAGGGCTCCAACATTTATCCTCTCAGAGTTACAGGGTGACCAGCATCCCTGCCCCCCTCTGCTCTGTGACTCCCACATTTCAGACCTTGTAGCTTTCCCCGTCATGGAGTGGAATCCAATGATCCTCCCACCCTTGGACTTAGCTCTGGGCTACAGCACAGTGCAGCTCAGAATGGGTTCCACTCCTGTGGTTCTTCCCTTTGGGAGGCTGAGTAGTGGCGAGACGACTGACCGGCCAGCCTTCTTCAGCCAAAATGCTGTGTAATCAGAACTGTAGGAAGGAAACGTAACGTGGGGGAACAGGAGGGTTTCCAAACAACAGTCTGTCCACTTCTCTGATCCCAGCCCCTCACTCTGACAGGGACCCAGGCAGGCCGAGGGACTTCCGACTTCTCCAGGCGTCTGTGCCTGTCGGTCTGCAGAGCTTCTCAGCAACCGCTGCCCCACCTCTGAGCAGATTCCCAGAGCTGGCAGAACTTTCTGTGTTACACTGCTGGAGCCTGGAAATAGGCTCTGGCTAGCTTGCAACTCCGGTGTGATCTCTCAGCCTCCCTGGAGTGCTCCTGCTTGTTTTCCCACAGTCTGCTCTTAAAATAAGGAGAGTCAGACTGGTTTCACCTAACACAGGCATAACAGCCACATCCCAATAATCAGTGCAATATAGCTCTGCTGGAAATATCCCAAGAATTGCGTGTAACACTCATTCCTTATGGCAGCTCAGATCCAGGTCTGTCTCTATCACATTCCTGGGTGTTATATTTTTTATGAATACAAGGCATACACAGTGAGAGAGAGACAGAGAGAGAGAGAGAGCAGTACAATACTCTCCTGTGCAAAATAAAGTTCCATTTCCATGAATACTTAGGCTTTGACTTTTAAACTCACTTCCTGCAAGTCTTCATCATGCTTGAATATCATGTGCTGGGGTTACTATGTACTAGAGAGTGACACACTGAGAGCTCAGGGAATTAATATTTCCTATATAGCCCTTAATGACTTTTACCACTCCAGAGACAAGCTCCAGAGTGAGGAGAACTACTCAGCAATTAACCCAGGGACAGAGGAGCTATTAGACATTTGTGTAATGAAAAGTGATTGAATGAGGGCTGGACGCTGGATTCTTTTCAGAGTCTGCGGAAATCCCGATGATGGACACATTTTAGATCCCTGTAACCTCAGAAAGCATCTCCGAAAGAAGATTAGAGGATTAAGAATCACTTCATGGACTAAAATACAGATGTGCAAATTGTATGCCAAAAATGTCTTTATTATAAAAATATGACAAAGGAACCCATCATGGTTGCCTGTATATCAAAAGCCAGGGGCAGAACTGTTGTAGTGCCTTCAGGAAGGAGAAGTGGAATTCTTGGAAGAATTCCTGGAGTCAGAGCGTATCACTGAGTGCAGGGAAAGTTATAGGCCCCAGTTCTTCTAGAATTAACACCGGTAAATTTGGAGTGACAGGGATGCAGTTGAAGTCAAATTTACTGAATTAGTAACCTGGTCCTAAGAATTTATCCTAAGTATTGCAAAGAGGCCGGAGCATAATTTAAACTCTCAGGCATGGGGGAAATAAATCTATGTAACAAGGCAGATAAACATATTTATAAATAGTGATAGAAATGTAGCCGTGTTAGTCTGGTGTAGCTGAAACACAATACAGGACTATGTAGCACTTTAAAGACTAACAAGATGGTTTATTAGATGATGAGCTTTTGTGGGCCAGACCCACTTCCTGTCTAATATCTGTTTTGTGGGCATTGATCCTTTGGCGAAGTGTCTGAGACGTTTGTCCAATGTACAAAGCAGACGGACACTTTTGGCACATGATAGCATAGATTATATTTCTGGATGCGCAGGAATATGTGTTCTTGATCTTATAACTCACTTGGTTAGGCCCAATAATGGTATCAGCAGAGTGAATATGTGGACAAAGCTGGCAACGGGGTTTGTTGCAAGGGAAGGTACCAGGGTTGGTATTAGTGTGGTATGTCCTGTGGTTGTTGGTAAGAATCATCTTGAGGTTAGGTGGTTGTCTATAGGAGACTATGGGTCTGTCTCCCAGAGCCTCTTGGAGTTTAGTATCCTGTTCCAGTATAGGCTGTAGTTTATTGATAATGTGTTGGACAGATTTAAGTTGGGGGCTGTAGGTGATGACAAGTGGTGTTCTATTGTTGGTTTTCTTGGGTCTGTCTTGAAGTAGATGGTTTCTAGGTATTCGTCTGGCTCTTTCAATTTGCTTTTTTATTTCTCTGGGTGGGTAGTTGAGGTTTATAAATGCTTGGTAGAGATCCTGAAGTTTCTGGTCTCTGTCAGTGGGATTAGAGCAGATGTGTTTGTATTGAAGGGCTTGGCTATAGACGATGGATCGTGTGGTGTGTTCTGGATGGGAGCTGGAAGCATGTAGGTAACTGTATGAGTCAGTGGGTTTTCTGTAGAGAGTGGTGTCTAATTTTCCATTGTTGATTTGTACGGTGGTGTCCAGGAAGTGGATCTCTCGTGTAGAATGGTCCAGGCTGAGGTTGATGGTGGGGTGTAGGTTGTTGAAATCTCTGTGGAATATCTCCAGTGTTTCTTGGCCATGTGTCCAGATCATAAAGATGTCATCGATGTACCGTAGGTAGAGGAGGGGTGAAAGGGGACGGGAGTTGAGGAAACGTTGTTCTAGGTCAGCCATAAAGATGTTAGCATACTGTGGGGCCATGCGTGTACCCATGGCTGTGCCGCTGATCTGGAGGTATAAGTTGTTCTCAAACTGGAAATAATTGTGGGTGAGAACAAAGTTACATAGGTCTGCTATCAGGTTGGCAGTAGTGTCCTCTGGGATAGTGTTTCTAATTGCTTGTAATCCGTCTTCATGTGGGATGTTGGTATATAGAGCTTCTACATCCATGGTGGCAAGGATGGTATTATTGGGGAGGTTATCGATGTTTTGTAGTTTCCTTAGGAAGTCAGTAGTGTCTCGGAGATAGCTGGGGGTATTGGTTACGAAGGGTTTGAGAAGAGTGTCTACATAGCTGGATAGACCAGTAGTGAGCGTGCCAATACCAGAGATGATGGGACGTCCGGGGTGCCCAGGTTTATGGATCTTGGGAAGTAGATAGAACAATCCTGGTCGGGGGTCAGAAGGTGATTCTGTGAGGATTTGTTCAAAATGTCCGCCGCTTTTTTCCGGCTTTTAAAAAAGCCGGAAAAGAGCGTCTACACTGGCCCCGACCCTCAGGAAAAAGCGCCCTTTTCTGGAGGCTCTTATTCCTACTTTGAAGGCTCTTATTCCTTTGAAGTAGGAATAAGAGCCTCCGGAAAAGGGCGCTTTTTCCGGAGGATCGGGGCCAGTGTAGACGCTCTTTTCCGGCTTTTTTAAAAGCCGGAAAAAAGCGGCGGACATTTTTATTTAAATGCCGCGGGGGATATTTAAATCCCCCGCGGATTTCCCTACGACGACTGCTGAAATTTACATGCCCCTTCCGGAAAAGGGGCCAGTGTAGACGTAGCCACACCGTGATACAGTGGGTCAACCCAGAAGTGGAGGGACAGTTAAGGTGTGCGTGGGAAGGTCACAGCTGCAGAAAAATAGACCACTCCAGTAGATTGTGGAACTCACGGTCACAAGTTATCAGTTGGAAAACAGCTCAGCAGCCTACAGAGAGGGACAGGATGTTTGTATGGGAAACCAAACAATCTAAATACTATAGTGAGGATTGTTATTTTGAAAAGTCTTGGAATGGCTGTAAACATTCCTGATTTATTCCACAAAATGTACAATCTCATGGGTGTCTGAGGGAATCTTTCCCTCAGAGATGGATGTTTCTTAGCTACCTATTGAAGATCTCTTTATATCTTCCTCTGCAGCATCTGGATCCAGCCATTAGATACCCTAGAGGTCTAATCCAGTCTGACAGTGCCTCGCTTCCTACCGGGCTTTAAATGCAAAACATTGTTTTTGTTGGTCTTCCAGTGGGTCCTGGGTGTCTGTAGACTTGCACTGGGAGCATAAAGAGGTCTTACTGAATACCATCTAGTCTCCTGTTCTTTTTCTTTTCAGGAAGGAAACCACGGAACTCTCCAGACCCTCCCCAGTACATGATGTCAGCTGTGAATGACACCACATTCACACATGCAGCATTCCTTCTCACCGGGATACCTGGGCAGGAAGACTACCATGTCTGGATCTCTATCGCCTTCTGCTTACTATATGCTATTTCGATTGTAGGAAATTCAGTCATTCTGTTCATTGTAATAAAAGACCCAAGCCTCCACGAGCCCATGTACATTTTCCTTTCCATGTTGGCACTTACAGACCTTGGCTTATCGATAACCACCATGCCAACGATACTGGGCATATACTTATTTAACTCTAAGGCGATCACCCTTGATGCCTGTTTGACCCAGCTGTTCTTCATCCACACACTTCAATGCATTGAATCCTCCATACTCTTGCTGATGGCCTTCGACCGCTTCATCGCCATCTGTATCCCACTGAGATACACGTCCCTCTTAACCCTCCCGAGAACACTGTTGATGGGACTGGTGTGTGTGCTTAGAGGTGTAGCCTCTATGTTTCCACTCCCACTTCTTCTGAAACGGTACCGATACTGTCGAGCAAATATCCTCTCCCATTCCTACTGTCTGCACCAGGCAGTCATGAAGATGGCTTGTTCAGATATTCAAGTCAACAATATCTATGGCTTGTTTATTACACTCCTCACGATGGGTTTGGACTCGCTGCTAATTCTCCTGTCTTACGTGATGATCCTCAAAACAGCACTGAGTGTGGTGTCCCTCGGGAAGTGTCTCAAGCCCCTGAACACCTGTCTCCCCCACATCTGTGCTGTCCTGCTCTTCTACACTGCAGAGTTGAGCCTTGCTGTGATATACAGATACGTGAAGGGCTCTTCTCACTTGCTTGCAGTTCTCGTGGGCTATGTTTCTCTGCTCATTCCACCCGTGATGAACCCCATCATATACAGCATCAAAAGCAAACAGCTTCGTGCGAGGATCACCAGGGTGTTCGTCAAATGAAGGGTCAGTTTGGCACCCATCTGCAGTGCATCTTACACGGGCCATGAAAAGCAAAAACACAAGTTACCTAACCCATCCTGGCCCTTACTTCTGGGGTGACATTAAATTCATTTTACCACTGAGAGGAGACAGCTTTTGGTGGGACGCAAGGCCTGGATCAATGGTAGTGACTGTTCCCATTCATTTAGTTTTAGGTTGGACATTAGCAAAAACTTCATAACCGTCAGGGTTGTCAAACACTGGAATAAGTTGCCTAGGGAGGTTGTGGAATCTCCATCTCTGGAAATATTTAAGAGCGGGTAAGATAGACATCTACGAGGGATAGTCTAGACAGTGTTTGGTCCTGCTGTGAGGGCAGGGACTGGACTTGATGGCCTCTTGAGGTCCCTTCCAGTTCTAGTGTTCTATGATTCTATGATTGATCAGAATTCAGGGGGGAGGAGACAAAGGCAGAGAGCAATACTGGAAAGTATCCATGTTCAAGGAGAACTAGGGACTGGTGGGGTGTTGGCCCATAGACTGATGTATGAGTGGGTGCTCCAGCCTCAGTATTCATGTTGACAGAGTCAATAAAGAGAAGTGATGTGAATGTTGTTTCCCATTTCCTCTGGATTATCACTGTCCCATCTCTGGTTAAACCTCCCAGTACCATGAAAATAGCCACAGAAGTGTTTTTCAGTCACACTCCTGGCTTTCCTGAGCCAGAGTATTCTGCACACGTGGAGCCAATGACGAATTAGTGGAGATGGGTTAAAAAGGGCTCCCCTTCTGTTAGCTCACTGCGCACAAGGAGCTGAGGAGAGAAGGTGCCATGCAGGGTCTGGGAGGAGGAAGCACACATAGGTACAAGGAGGAACAGCCTGCAGTAAGGAAAGTGCTGGGGAAGACTGTGAGGAAGTAGTCCAGGGGATGATAGTTGCCACGCAGCTGATACTGGACATATTAAAGGTAGCTGATATCACTCGGTACCTGGGCTAGAACTCAGGATAGAGCGTGGCCTTGGGTCCTTCCCTCCACCAACTCCCCATTTTAGCACTGGCAAAGGACTAGTGTTTTGATAAAGGGGTCTGCCCTGCCCAGAATCACTTGGAGGGGCCACAGGGACTCTGGAGTTTAGTAGTCCCTTTTTCCCCCATGCTGGCCAACGATGAGAGTGGTTCAACAAAAAGCAAGGCGGTGTCCTCAGGAAAGTGTCTAAAGTGAGGGCTGCTATGAGCCCCTGAGGCAAGCCTTCTGCCTGAAAGTGCAGGACCCGCCAAGGAGGAGTTTTTGACACAGAGCCTATTGCTGGATCAACATGCAGTTACTCACGACAACATATATTCAGTTCCTCAAAGCTTCACACACATCGCTTATAACTGACAAGATAGTGGAATTTAAGAGCATGGAAAAGAATGATGCTTGGTTGGAAGTTGCCTGTGAGGCCTGTAGTAAATGAAATGAACAAAGTTTATTACAAAAAATGACTCTTGAAGATTTTCACAGGGATTTCAACAACTTCCACCCCACTGTTAACCTTAGCCTGGACCAGTCCACACGGGAAATCCACTTCCTGGACACTACAGTACAGTCACACGAGGTACACATTTCCACCACCTTATACTGGAAACCTACCAACTTACATGCCTCCAGCTTCTCTCCAAGACACATTTCCAAATCAACTGTTTACAGCCAGCCCTAAGATACAGCCAGATTTGCTCCAATCCCACAGACTGAGACAAACACCTACAGGATCCATATCAAGCATTCGTAAAACTGAAATACCCACTCGGAGAAGTGAAAAAAAACAGATTGACAGAACCAGACTAGTACCCAGACATCAGCTTTTTCAACACAGGCCCTACAAAGAAAGCAACAGGACACCACTTATCATCACCTACAGCCCTCAACTTAAACCCCTCCAACACATTATCAACAACCTACAACCAATTCTGGAAAATGACCCTCAGGCTATGTCTGCACTACATGGCTCCGTCAACGGAGCCATGTAGATTACCTTTGTAGACATAGGAAAATGAAGCAGAGATTTAAATAATCGCCGCTTCATTTAAATTAAAATGGCTGCCGCACTGTGCCGATCAGCTGTTTGTTGGCACAGAGCTGTAGTCTGGACGCTCCGCAGTCGACATTGAAGGCATTTGTTGACCTCCCCGGTATGCCTTGTGGGATGAGTTTTACTGGGGAGGTCGACAAATGCCTTTGATGTCAACTGCGGAGCGTCCAGACTACAGCACTGTGCCGACAAACAGCTGATCGGCACAGTGCGGCAGCCATTTTAATTTAAATGAAGCAGCAATTATTTAAATTGCTGCTTCATTTTCCTATGTCTACAAAGGTAATCTAAATGGCTCCGTTGACGGAGCCATGTAATGTAGACATACTCTCACTCTCACAGGCCTTGGGGGACAGGCCAATCCTCACCTACAGACAACCCCGTAACCTTAAACAAATTCTTTCCAATAACCATGCACCTCCATCATATTCACCCAGGAACCCACCCCTGCAATCAACCCTGATGCCAACTCTGTTCACACAATTAGACAGAAGATATCAACACAGGACTTAACCACATAAACCAGTACATCAGAGGCTTACACAACTGCACATCCACCAATGTGATTTATGCCATCAAGTGCCAGCAATGCTCTCTGCCATGGATATTGGTCAAACTGGACAGTCTCTATGAGAAAGTATTAATGGACACAAATCAGATATCTGAAAAGGCAACAGACAGAAACCTGTTGGGGAATATTTTAACTTGCCTGGTCACTCACTAATAGATCTCAAAGTCACTGTATTATTTCAAGACTATTTCAAAAGCCAGATCAACAGGGAAGCTACAGAACTTAATTTCATTTACAAATTTGATTCCTATAACAGAAGTCTAAACAAAAACATTGGGTGGATGACCCACTATGTTCCACATCCTAGTGATATAAAAAAATGATCAAAGGGTACTTAAAGTGGGCACTAAGTATTTTTATCTGCTTAATATATCATGGACACTATAATTGACAAATTCTTTCCTCTTTTTTCTTTTTTTTCCTCTTCTTCCCCCAACCCATCCCCTCTCTGATATTTATTTGAAAACTGGGCCTCTTAAATGCCATTCATTTCAAGTAAGTGGGTTGTGCCCACGAAAGCTCATGATACCATCTACGTTTTTTGTTAGTCTCTAAGGAGCTGCAAGACTATCTGTTGTTTTTTAAGTTTTTCCAGTTACAGACTAACTCAGCTTCCCCTCTGAAAGTTTTTTACAATTAGAGCTACAAAACTGGTCACAAGTATTTTAAAAGAAACACAGAGACAAGAAGTAAGCAATAATTCTCCTGTGGTCTGAAAAGTTGCCAAATTAAATAAGGTTTCAATCTCAGATCCTGATGACAGTAAAAGCCTTCAAATGATGATGGCCATCCCACTAAGTGTTATGGGTTTCTGGGATGATGGGTAAATATCTGTCTCATAAAACATCCTCCCATAAATAATGGGGGCATGTAGTAGGAAGAGGACCTGAAATATAAATTGTAACATAGTTCTTGTGTGAGGCCTTAGGCCTGAACTAAAGTACCCATCAAGCTTTACTTCTATAAAGCAAAAGCGCAAAGTCAAGTTCTGCCTGCTTGCAAGCATAGAGCATCGGGCAAGAACAGGGCGATGTTGCAGAAACACACATTCCTAACTAATGTTGGGCATAAGAATATATAGGCCAATACATTCCACAAAGGTGGCACTAGAACACCTCAATACCAGCCCTACTCCCTAAGGGTAACAGAACACTTTGACCAGTGCTGAAGATCAAGTCAGCCCAACAGCATGATGGATAGAGGGGTTTTGATCAAACCAACACGTGCAAAGCAATGGGCAGACCTTGGATACGTCAGTGTGTGGCACCCTAATATATCCGGAGAGATGCGTAACTTGTCTGTATCTGTTCATACGGATGTATCTCAGGGCACATCTAGACTTGCTTTTACTTTTGAAAGAAGATATGCAAATTTGGTGTGAATTTGCGTATCTTCTTTCGATCGCTTTTTCAAAAGAGATTCTTTCGAAAAAGATAGTAGTCTAGATGCAATTCTTTTGAGAAAAAAACCCTTTTTCAAAAGAACCGTTCTTCGTAAAAAAATGAGGTTTACATGACTGAGAACCGTTCTTCGTAAAAAAATGAGGTTTACACGATTGTTTTGAAAAAGGGTTTTTTTCTTGAAAGAACTGCATCTAGACTACATTTTTTTTCGAAAGAACCTCTTTCGAAAAAGTGATCGGAGGAAGATATGCAAATTCATGCCAAATTTGTATATCTTCTTTCGAAAGTGAAAGCAAGTCTAGATGTGCCCTCAGAGGGAACGGCTTTGTCTGGCCAAGGGGGGAAAGGAAAGTTCTTCCATTCACCGAACCGGTCCATTGTCATGGGCATACATGTGTGAGTGTAACTGTAGACATTGACTGAGAGAGGTAGAGCTGTGCTTCTCTACCAACATACCTGTCCAAGTGCCTTTGCATCTTCACGATCTTGTGGTCGTTGGGGACTTTGCTCAGGGTCTGTTGTGCGCACAGTGCTGGGACAGCACCCAGGGAGAATGCAGCAACACAGCTGAACATCTTCCAACTTCTCTCAACATCACCCAGGTGTAACTACAGCTGACTACTCAGGCATACTCAATATTCAGAACTTCACATACAAAAAATGATGTGTGCACACAAATTGCACTTTTATATTCCCCCAGTCATAACTTTTCCATTGACACCTCATAAGACCCATTTTGTACAAGATGCATTATAATTTTTTAGAATCATACATACCGAGGCCATTATGATGCACATGATGGCAATGTTATGAGCCTCCTCTGTTGTCCTGTTACCTGCCTCATGCATATAAAAATCTCAGGTTCTTCAGGAAGAGAAATCTTTTTCCCTGGAGGAGGAGACCTTAGGGTCTCAAGAGAGCAGATGGAGCAGAGTTAAGGAGAGCTCTGCATGGCGTGGGGTGGTGGATGAGCTCAGGGCTCTAGACACAGGGAATGCAGGGGGCTCGGAGCTTAATCTGGGAAAGGGAGGCATTTCTAGAGGTGAGGGGGTATCCTGCATGCAGAAGAGGGGGCAGGAAGGCTAACATCCCTGAAGTGGGGCTCCAGCCTGTGCCCATGTTGGGAACTTTTAGGAAAGGGATAGATCATGAGAAGGAAAATAACATAGCACCACTCTATACATCCATGGTACAGCAACATCTCAAAAACCGAGTGCAGTTCTAGTTGCCCTATCTCCCCTCAGAAGATCCTGCAGGTCTGTGTTCCTGTGCTTACAACTGAGCCAGAGAATAAAAATATTTGAAATGCATTTTCGATAGACAAATAAATAAATACATGGAGGTGATCTGGGAACTAGTCATTGTTATTCCGTAGGGTCTCCTCTTGCACAGCCCTGGAAGAACTGGGCCCAGAGCACATGGCTCCTCTAGAAATGGAACCTACTGAAAAACCTGACCTGGATCATTGGCTGTTTAATGCCCTGAACTTTCTTTGGAAGTCACATTTCTGTGAACCTTGCATAACCAACCCACCCTGGAGCATGGACAGATGGAGAGGAGGGTTCCCAAGCTCCCTAGCACTGCCTGCCCTCCAGACCTATCGCTGAGTCACCCCGACAGCCCCGTTGAGTCCTCTGCCGCTGCACAGAACAGCTGCCAATGCAAACAGTGGGCAAAGGCTACTGTAACAGGCCCCAGTGGTAGGGGCCTGGAGAGGGTCCTTGCACAGTTGTAGAGGCTCAGCTAGTGGATCGGTGGGTCACTGAGATCTGCTCATAACCTTGGGGATCCCTGGATCCCCCTTTTTCATTCCTTAGAGAGAAGAGAAGGGATCTTTTCCCCTGAACTGATCCAAAGAAAATTTCCATGTATGTGGGCTTGTGGACACTGCCTTCTCTGTGCTACACCCTGGGTTTGTTATGCAGGAAGGGGGGCTGCTGGGGAGAAATCAGTTTCTATAATATTATATGTGTTCACTTTATTTCAGTAAGATCACTGCTATGGCAGCATCATAGTTACCATGTGGCTACACCCAAGGGAGCCATGAGACCAATCAGACCCAGAGTAATAGGGCTGACGAGCTAAGCTTCCAGGAACAGAGGTGGGATTTCTGTTCCTGGGATTTGTCCTGTGATGGGAGTTGAAGCTGGTACGCTCAAAGCCAAGCAGTTGAGGTTCCCTGATGGCCAAGTGGCCCCAAGGGAAGGTACAAACGTGCTGCATAAAGGCAGTTGCCTCCCTAGCTGAACAGACACTGCCTGCTGCCCCTGCAGCCCTTCTGATGGCTCTTTGTTCACTGGGGCAGTTGCCTCCCTAGCTGAACACGCACTGCCTGCTGCCCGTGCAACCACACTGATGGCTCTTTGTTCACTGGGATGAAGACCTCTGTTGCCAGCGACTCCCTTCTAGCAGGAACTGGGTACGTTGGCAGGTTTCACTGTCTGTAACATGCCAAGTGCAGGGCAAAGGCTGCAGGCTGTTTGCATTGGCAGCTGTTCTGCGCAGCGGCATAGGACTCAGCTGGGCTGTCCCAGGTTACTAAGCGATGATGCTGGAGGGCGGGCAGAGCTAGGGAGCTTGGGAACCCTCCCCTCCTGATGTCCACGCTCCATGGTGGGTTGGTTATTCAAGGTTCATAGAAATGTGACTTTCAAAGAAAGCTCAGGGCATTAAACAGCCAATGATCCAGGTCAGGTTTTTCAGTAGGTTCCATTTCTAGAGGAGCCACGTGCCCTGGGCCCAGTTCTTCCGGGGCTGTGCAAGAGGAGACCCCATGGAATAACAGCAACTAGTTCCTAGATAATCTTAATTAATTTATTTATTTATAGAAATTCATTTCAAATATTTTTATTCTCTGGCTCAATTGTGAGGGCAGGAACACAGACCTGTGTTGCTCTGTGGTAAAAGGTCCAATAGGGCATATTTCTGTTTTCTGACAAGCTGAGGGCTCCAGCATTTCTCCAGGCAGAGTTACAGGGTGGCCAGTGTCCCTGCCCCCCTCCGGCCTGTGAGTGCCACATTTCAGACCTCGTACGAGAGGGACAGGGCAGCCAGTGTCCCTGTCCCCCTCCGGCCTCTGAGTGCCACATTTCAGACCTCGTAGGCCTTCCCCATCATGGGGTGGAATCCGACAGTCCTCCCACCCTCAGACTTGGCCCTGGGCTACAACATAGTGCAGCTCATTGTGGATTCCACTCCTGTGGTTCTTCCCTTTGGGGGGCTGACTAGCGGTGAGACAAACGACCAGACGACCTTTTCCAACCAAACTACTGTGTAATCTGAATCACAGGAAGAAAGCGTAACGTGGAGGAACAGGAGAGTTTTCAAACAACAGTCTGCCCACATCTCTGCCCCCTGATTCCCACTCTCACAGGGACCCAGGCAGGCCAAGGCCCTTCAGACTGGCCCAGTGGTGTTTGTGCCTGTCGGTCTGATGAGCAACAGCTGCCCCACCTCTGAGCAGACTCCCAGGACTGACAGAACAAGATGGGGAACGTGGCTTGAGCCCGGAAACAGGCGCTTCCCAGCTTGTATCTCCAGTGTGATCTCTCAACCTCCCCGAGTTGCTCACTGAGCGACATCTTTCCTTGAGGTGTTGCTTCCCTTCCCGCTTGTTATCCAGCAGCCTACTCTTAAACTAAGAAGAGCCAGACTGCCTTAATCTAACACAGTCATAACAGCAACATCCCAATAGTTAATGCAATATAACTCTGGAGGAAATATCCCAACACTCATTCCTTATGGCAGGTCAGCTCCATGTCTTCTCTATTACACTCCTGGGTATTATATTTATGAGAGAGAGAGACTACTCTCATGAGCAAAATAAAGTTCTATTTCCACGAATATTCAGGCTTTGACTTTTAAATTCACTTCCTGCAAGCCTATATCATGCCTGAATATGAGGTGTTGGGGTTAATATGTACTGGAGAGCAAGAGTTTGAGAGCTCAGGGAATCAGTATTTCCTATACAGCCTCTGATGCCTGTTACCACTCCAGAGACAGGCTGCTGACTGACAGAACAGAGACTGAGGAGAACCAGCCAGCTAGTAGCCCAGGGAGAGAGGAGCTCCTAAGCTTTTGCTTGCTGACAAGTGATTGAATGAGGGCTGGGTGCTGTATTCTTTTCAGGAACTGAAGAAATGTAGATGACAGACACATTTTAGAACCCACTCGAACCTCAGAAATCATCTCTGAAAGACGATCAGAGGATAAGGAATCGGTTCACATGTAGGAACTAAAATAAAGAGGTGTACATTTTATGCCAAAATTTCTTTATTAGAAAATATGAGAAAGGAACCCATCATAGCTTGCCTGTATATCAAAAGGTGGGGGCAGACCTGCTGGAATGTCTTCAGGAAGGAGCAGTGGTACTTTTATTGCTTAATGCAGTTTGCTGCAGAATGTATCTCAGAAGTACAAATCTTGTTTGCAATGGGTTTGTGCTATTAACTCTTTGTTCAGTGAAACATTGTCTGGAACTGTCTCCTGACAACTGACAAAAGTCTGTTTCTAACACATTCAGAGTCATGCAACCAGTCCCTCTGCAACACCTGTTGAAGACCTTTCAAAAAGGCCTGAGAGAAAAGTACAGCTGATCTGTATTTCAGCAAAGGTAAGGTGGTTCAATGTAATGTTTACCCAGCACCTGTAGTATCAGCATGGAGCAAGATATCTTTAGCTACCTGTTGAAGGTCTCTTTCTATCTTCCTCTGCAGCATCTGGATCCAGCCACTGGATAGACTACAGGTCTGATCCAGTCTGGCTGTGCTTTGTTTCCTACCTGGGCTTTAAACACAAAACACTGTTTTTTGTTGCTCTTCCTTTGGCCCTGGTGTCTTTACACTTGCACTGGAAGCATAAAGAGGGCTCACTGAATACCATCTAGTCTCCTGTTCTTTTTCTTTTCAGGAAGCAAAGCACGGAACTTCTCAGACCTGCCCTGGTCAATGATGTCCGCTGTCAATGACACCACATTCACACATGCCGTGTTCCTCCTCACAGGGCTACCTGGGCAGGAAGACTTCCATCTCTGGATCTCTATCGCCTTCTGTTTACTATATGTTATTTCTATCGTAGGAAATTCAGTCATTCTGTTTATTGTAATAAAAGATCCAAGCCTCCACGAGCCCATGTACATTTTCCTTTCATTGTTGGCCCTCACAGACCTTAGCTTATCGATAACCACCATGCCAACGATACTGGGCATATACGTGTTTAACGCTAAGGAGATCACCCTGGATGTCTGTTTGGCCCAGCTGTTCTTCATCCACACGCTTCAGTGCATTGAATCCTCTGTGCTCTTGCTGATGGCCTTCGACCGCTTCATCGCCATCTGTATCCCACTGAGGTACACATCCATCTTAACCCTCCCGAGAACCCTGCTGATGGGACTAGTGTCTGTGCTGAGAGCGGTGGCCTCTATGTTTCCACTCCCACTTCTCCTGAAACGGTACCGATACTGCCGATCCAATGTCCTCTCCCATTCCTACTGCCTGCACCAGGATGTCATGAAAGTGGCCTGTTCAGATATTGCAGTCAACTACGTCTATGGCATGTTTACCACCCTCTCCACGGTGGGTTTGGACTCGTTGCTCATCCTCCTCTCTTATGTGATGATCCTCAAAACAGCGCTGAGTGTGGTGTCCCACGGGAAGTGTCTCCGGGCTCTGAACACCTGTGTCTCCCACATCTGCGCCGTCCTGCTCTTCTACATTGCCGAGATCAGCCTTGCCATTATACACAGATACGTGAAGGGCTCTTCTCACTTGCTTGCAGTTCTCGTGGGCTATGTTTCTCTGCTCGTTCCACCCCTAATGAACCCCATCATATACAGCATCAAAAGCAAACACCTTCGTGCAAGGATCATCAGGGTGTTTGTCAAATGAAGGGTCCATTCGGCACCCATCTGTAGTGTGTCTTACACGGGCCATGAAAAGCAAAAGCATGGATCTCCCAAGCCATCCCGAACCCTACTGCTGGGGTGGCAAAAGCATGGATCTCCCAAGCCATCCTGAACCCTACATGAAATTCATTTGACCACTGCACAGAAACAGCTTCAGATGAGACCCAAGGCCAGCAGCAATGGAAGAGAAGGGCTTTCTCCACACACCGGTCAGAGCTCAGGGGGAAGGAGAAAAAGGCAGAGAGCAGTACTGGGAAGTGTCTGTGTTAATGGAGAGCCACGGGACCGGTGGGATGTTAGCCCATAGACAGATGTATTAGTGGGTGCTCCAGCCTCAGAACTCATGTTGATATGGTCAATAAAGAGAAATGATACGAATGTTGTTTCTCATTTCCTCTGGCTTGTCCATGTCCTGTCTCTGCTTAATCATCCAAGGATCATGAAAAAAACATGCAGAGTGTTTTTCAGTCATACCTCTGGTTTTCCTGAGCACTCTGCGTACTTCATGGTCCCTAAGCACTCCCCAGCTGTGGGCAGGGGCTATCCAAGGAGGAAGCCACCCTCCCTTTCCCCACACTCTCCGCCAGATGCCTACAATTGAGTCATGCAAGAGATGTGATTAATGCAGAAATCACAGGCGAATCCATCCATGTCACCCTCCTCCTCCTCCTCCTCCTGCATACAGCCCACTCCATACCAGGGCAGAGCAGTGTGTGAGGGAGGATCTGACACACAGGAGTCCCGGCAAGGGATTCAGCTCCACATTTCCTTCTCCTCTCTGTGCAGCCTCAGCTGCTAGAAAGTTCTGGGAAGAGTCTTCCGCTCGCCCACAGGGTCACCGCTACCTCAGCCCAACCCCATCAGTGGAGGGTAAGCAGTGTTTCAAAAGGCAAATGCTGGACACATTCAGAAGCCCTGTCCCTTCTGTGTTCCTGACCCATCCCCCTGGAGGCCCAACCTTCTTCTCCTTCTCTGCACATTACACAGCTTGTTCTGCCACCACTGGGAGTCTCCCCCCATGTGTACCCTCATTGCTCCTCCTAGGGTTGCCAGGTGTCCAGTTTTCTACCGGACAATCCGGTATTTGCACTGTCTGTCCAGTAGAAAAATTTAGAAAATACCGGACGTGTGCAATGTCTGGTATTTTCTGAATTCCCGGCTGGGCGCCGGACGGAAGCCTGGTGGGGGTTGGGGAGTGGCTGGGAGGCGGGGCCATGACTGGTGCTGGGAGCCCTGTGGTTGCACGCAAAAGCTGGGTGGGGTGGGGCAGGGGCTGGGACTCCC